TTAATAAACAGATGTTATAGTGGCCCATTTCCATGTGTGTGTGTGTGTGTGTGTGTGTGTGTTTGTGTTTTAAACAAATTGTCAATTTATTTTCTATTATTTATTACATTTTTTTGTGCAAAATGAATGAGGGAAATTAAATATCATATCTCTGTATAACATGGGGCGACACAGTGGCTCAGTGGTTAGCTCTGTCACCTAATAGCAAGAGGGTTGCTAGTTTGAGTCCCTGCTGGGCCAGTTGACCTTTCTGTGTGGAGTTTGCACGTCCTCCCAGTGTTGGGGTGGGTTTTCTCCAGGTGCTCTGGTTTCCCCCAGTCCAAACACATGTGCTATAGGTGAATTGGGTGAGCTAAATTGGCCAGTGTATGAGTGTGAATGAATGTGTATGGATGTTTCCCATTAGCTTGAAGGGTATCTGCTGCGTAAAACATACGCTGGGTAAGTTGGCGGTTCATTCCACTGTGGTGAGCCCTGTTTAATACAGGAACTAAGCTAAAAAAAGAAAATGAATGATTGAATGTATGGAGAAAATGATGCAATACTTCCAAAATCATAAAAAGATTTATTTAAACCATTAAATGTGGTAACACAAACAGCTTAAAGTGTAATTAAAAAGCAGTTTATGGAGCATTTATATCATAGGATAAATTTTTTTAAAATAAAAGAATAAAAAAGCAGTGATCTCGACATTTACTGACTTGCATTTCATTGCAAACAAACCTTATTGGTAACACTTTATAATAACTACACACTATAAATCATTTGCTAAGCATTAGCATCTAGTGAATTGATTATTTGTTAAGCATTAACTCTATAACTATGCAGTTTATAACTGCAGCTACAAATGCTCTATTCTTGACTTATTACTGTAGCACCTATATAATGTGCTTAATAATTGTATTTTCATACTTGGTTAATTATTTATTTTTCATTACTAAATTAAGTATTGCATTATTTACAAACCAGCTGTATATAAGAGTTGAGGGTTTTTTAGGATCATTCAGAATGAGTTAGTAAGTGATTAATAAACTATTGAAATCAACATTTATATATCTTATTATTCAGGCTGTACTAATAGTTAACTAATATGTTAATAAATGCTTTATTAACTCAACTTCACATAGTTTTGTGACCTAATCTAAAGAGAGTACTATTTAAGCTTTATAAATCCCTTATAAATGACAATTAAAGGCTCAGAATCGTATGAATAATAATCTTTGCAATCTTATCTAAAAAGTGAAATTACTGTAAAGGAGTGTCAAAATACGACATAAAACTGGATAAAAAACAACAACAATATATTAATTTACAAGATAATAAGATGCAATGTTTAAACTCTACAGTGATTTTATTTTAGATAAGGTTGCAAAGATTTATTTTTCATTTGAAGCACAGTTTTATTTGTGTCTCTTTAAATGAATAGGAATGAATAATGTCATTCTTCCTGTTTAGAATTTAACTGAGCCTTTATTTGTCATTTATAAGGGATTTATAAAGCATGAATAGTCCTCACTTTAAATTAGGTCACAAAATTGGATGAAGTTGAGTTAATTGAGCATTTATTAACATACAAATTAACTATTAATATATGACTGAATAATAAGACATATAAACGTTGATTTCAATAGTTTATTAATCATTTACTAACCCATTCTGAATGATCCAAAAAACTCTCAACTACTCTTAAAAACGAATGGTTTGTAAATAATGCAATACTTAATTTAGTAATGAAAATAAATCATTAACAGAGTATGAAAATACAAGTATTAAGCACATTATAAATACGTTTGTAAGTCAAGAATACAGCATTTGTAGCTGCAGTTGTAAACTGCTTACTAAAGCTTTATAATGTCGAGTTAATGCTTAACAGATAATGAATTCATTATTTGCTAATGCTTAATAAATGATTTATAGTGTGTAATTATAAAGTGTTACCACATTATTTATTATGTTCCTCATGATTTTTATTGTTTTTTTACAAAACAAAACATGTTTTACAGTTTTGGTTATTGCAACACGTTTAAATAAACAATGGGACAGGAGCAGTTTAGGGCAGTAATCCAGTAAATTGGTTAAATAATGATGTGATTTGAAGCAGGTGGTGTCAACAGGTGATTGTAATTATGATTTGGTACAAAAGCAGCATCCAAGAAAGGTCTAGTCATTTAGAAGCAAATATGGGCCGAGGATCGCCAGTTTGCCAACAAATATGTGAGAAAATGATTGAAATATTTAAAAAAGAAAATGATTCTTTAAAGAATGACAGAAAGACATTTGGATATTTCACCTTCCACAGTGCAGAACATCATTAAAGATTTAAGGAACCTGAAGGAATTTTAGTGCGTAAAGGACAAGGACGCAAGCCTAATCTCCGATCCCTCAGGCAGCACTGCATCAAGAGTATTTGTTTCTCCATAAGCGATATCACCACATGGGCCCAGGACTACTTTGGCTCAGGACAAACTTGTGAAATACCACAATACGTAGTTACATCCACAAATGCCAGTCAAAATTGTACTGTGCCGAAGTTAAGGAAATGTAAAAAAATGACACATGCACTTCGATTACAAATCAGAAACCTTTGAAAAGAAATGGAGTAAATGGCTGGCTTTCTCCTCAACGACAATAAAATTATTTATAACTGAACATTTACATAATTCTAGAGGTTATGTATCATTGTGAAAATATGTTTGGCAACCTTTTATTATAATTTATTTTATACTTATTTATTTATTTTGATGAGGTTAATTTAATATTTTATGCATGTGTGTTTATGGATATACATGTGTGGAATGGATGTATTTGCCTATGCAAGTATTTATACATATATATATATTTATGTACACGTGTATACATATATATATTTTTTGCTTGTTTTGTTCCCACTGGTTATATGTTCCTAAAAAATCAATAAAAACTAAGTTATAAAAAAACAGAAAACTGTACTGTGCCAAAAGGAAGCCCTATGTTAACAGTGTCCAGAAGCGCTCTTGACTTCTCTGGGCTCTGAGTACATCTGGGATGGATCATCACACAGTGGAAACGTGTACTGTGGGCAGATGAATCAGTATTTCAGGTTTTTTTTGGAGAGAAATGGATGCCTTGTGCTCCAGACCTAAGAAAAAAGGATCATCCATACTTTCACCAGCAACAAGTTTAAAAGCCAGGGTCTGTTATGGTATGGGGTTGTGACAGTGCCCTTGGCAAAAGTAACATACACTTCTGGGATGCACCATTAATGCTGAAAAGTACATAGAGATTTTGGAGCACAATATGCTGCCTTTTTATTTAGGGACGCTCATGTATATTTCAACAAGACAATGCAAAAGCACATTCTGCACACATTACAAAGTCCTGGCTGCGGAGGAAGAGGATATAGTTATTTGACTGGCCTGTCTGCAGTCCCGACCTGTCTCCAATAGAGAACGTGTGGTGCATTTTGAAAAGCAAAATGCCACAATGAAGTCCCTGTACTGTTGCCTACTTTAAGACTTGTTTGCAGGAAAAATGGGACAAAAATACATCTGAAACACTTCATCATTTGGTGTCTTCAGTCCCTAAACGTCTTTTAAGTGTTGTGAAAAGGAATGGCAACATTACAAAGAGGTAAATGCTTTACTGTTTCAACTTTTTTTGAAATGTGCTGCAAGAACCAAAATTGGACTACGTGTTTATTAAAAAAAAAACAATAAACATCACAAGGAACACATTAAGTAATGTTTGTTGTTTTGTCAGCAATGAAATACAAGTCATATTAAATTTAGAAATCACTTCTTTCTTTATTTGCATTTTCCATACTGATCCAACTTTGTTTTTTGATTTGTGGTTGTAAAATCAATGAATCATTTTTGTTCAGCATAGTAGCCTGCAGCTGTACTTCCCAAGAATCATTTAAAACTAAAGCCTGAATGCACTGTAAATCATTCCCGATGAAAGCTTCTGCCAAAAAGCTCAAATGCAGTAACCCTGAGATTGATCAATTCATTATTTTAGTGATTTTTCAACTCCTAATACAAAGCCTGACGCCCTGCTGGGACTTTAATTCACCCGTCGCCGCACATAAAGCTCCTCAAAGTGATTTATTTGACGTGGCTCACAGTTCAAACCCTCACTTTTTGCTTCCATTCGAACTTCAGAATTAATAATAATCCAGTTTATGTGATGCGCTGCACCACAACCGCACACATAACACACTTCATATGCCAACATAAGAGCATAGCCGCTCACCAACAGCCATGTTTATATTTGGGCTATAACTCAAGCTTTTGATTGGATGCCATTAAAGCTATGTAAACACTGGTTATTAGGACCAGGTGTGCGAGGTTTATATTGACGACAAACAATACATGATAGCAGATGCTCAATGTATAGTTCTGTTAGACTTTTTTCAGTCAGGATGGAGTCCATTGATCCTAGTAAAGGCATTTACAATGATGTTAGATTGTATTTTGAAGGATCAAGTGAATAATGAAGAAAATATGTAGCTTTAAAATCACTAGAATAAATTACATTTTAAAAAGTGTTCAAATAGACAACAGTTACTTTTTAAGTTGAATAATATTTCACAGTGTATTTTTATGTTTTTGGTCAAACAATTGTAGCCTAAGAAATTTCTTTCAAAACATTAAGTCAGTCTTCATTAAAGTCAATGATTGGTTCATGAATACATTTCACTTCTAAATGAATCAAACATCTTAAACAATTCATTTGAATCTATTTTAACCATCACAGTGTGCAAGTCTAAATCCACTATTACTATTTTAAGAATAGGCAAAACAGTTGGAGAACCCAGCACATTGTCTGAAACGGTTGACCTTACTCTCTTAATAAATTAAAGGGATGATTTTTTTAAAAATCACACAGGTTCAAAGACTCGTTCTTAGGTTATTAAGCCTGTAATGTTAGGTAATGGTTGGTTAAGACAGTGAATTGTGACCTAAAGTACTACGGAATAAAGAAACCAAAGTAAAATGCATATGCAAGAGTGGGCTCTTTACCGTGAGGGGAAGTCTGTCATGAAGAGCTCGGGCACCAGCTCCTGCAGTGGGACGGGTTGCTTAGGATGGTTTGGGCAGGTGATGTGCTCTTTGTCCACTGCTGCCAGAACGCAGTCCTCCATGTTGAAGTAGTGGACGACGGATTGGCTGAGGCTGGACTGAGGCAGCGGGTCAGGAAGTCTGGACACCGAGCTGCAGAACGGACAGGGAGCGAACTGTTCAATCAGACGAGACCCGTCGCTTTCACTGCCCGTCAGCGCTGAGAATACATAAGAGGAGACACATGACTGTGTTTGTGTGTGTGTGTGTGTGTGTGTGTGTGTGTGTCACTGATGAATGCATGTATACCAATGTATGGAGAAAAAAAAACACTGATCAGGGTTTAATGCAATTGGCTCAATAGATAAAGGTTTTAGTTAAGTAGTAAATAAATGTAATAAATAAAAGTTCTTAAAATTAATTAAATGCAATTCAAAAGGCAACTTTTTCCCTCTCCTCAAATTAAGAAACAAACAAATAGATTTAAAAAATAATAATAGGTCAAATATTATTAAAATTACATACACAAATAAAGAATAAATAATATGTAACAAAATCTTATAATGTTACTGATAATAGTAAAAATAAGGCAAAGTTAGTCAGCACAAACAAACAAAGCTAGTGTAGTCACCAGTCAGCCAGTTCCATTTCTGTCAGCTTTGTGTTTGACCCTTGGTGTCATCTTGTGTCTGAATAATGCACAGGTTAGTGTATACTCCATCAGCTGTTTTAAGGCTGATTTATACTTCTGCGTCAAACGCATGTGTATGCTACGGCGTTGACACATAGCCCCTCACCGTGGCCGTCGGCGTCACTGGCGTGCACCTCTCAAAAAATGTAACTACACGTCGCAACGACGCGTAGCGCAAGCTCTGTGATTGGTCGGCTTGGCTGCGCTGACGAGTCTGGGCGGGACCGAGAGCCGCGCGAATGGCACGAGCCCAATGGAGCGATTGTTTACAAGTGTGGAGTCCCGTGAAGGAGCTCCGGGTGGAAAGTTTTGTTTTCTGTTTACCTCATAGTTAAAGTTGTTGCAGACCAACAGAGACAGCGCGCAGAAGTATACATGCACAGCTACGGGCGTTGCATGGGCCGTGGGTTACGCCGATCACTTGACGCAGAAGTATAAACCAGGCTTTGATTTCTGTCAGCTTTGCATTTTTGACTATTTGGCGCCATCTTGTGTCTAAATAATGCGCAGGTTACTGTATACTCCATCAGCTGTTTTAGTTTCTATCCGCTTTGTGTTTTTGTCTGTTTGGCGCCATCTTGTGTCTGAATAACGCGCAGGTTACTGTATACTCCATCATCTGTTTTTGTGCCTGTCAGCTTTACGTTTTTGTCTGTTTGGAGCCATCTTGTGACTGAATAAAATGCAAGTTAGTATATTATCCATTTAGTAAGTTTAATTTCTATCAGCGTTGCATTTGTTTGGCACCATATTGTGACGGAATAATCTGCAGGTTAGTGTATACTCCATCAGTTGTTTTAGTTTTTGTCAGCTTTGCATTTTTGACTGTTTGGTGCCATCTTGTGTCTGAATAATGTGCAGGTTAGTGTATACTCCATCAGCTGTTTTCATTTCTGTCAGCTTTGCGTTAAATAGAAAATGAATAGACTATTATGTCTCAGAACAATGTTTTGTGTCTAATTTTAAGGTTTTGTGGCAAGTAGCCATGTAATCAACTGGATAAAGAATATCCAAGCAGTTGTTTTGACAGAATAAAGTCCTTCAGTCTTATACAACAGTGCCAATAAACCTGAAAGGCTTTTTTTCTGCAATTAAAAACCTCCTGAATGTACTTTGTCCCTAACTTAGGGTGTACTCACACTATGTACAGTTGCCTTGAACCGGGCCAAAGCACGCTTGTCCCCCCTCCCATCTCCCCCACTGGCCTGCACTCACATTACATTCGTTTGTAATATTTAGTTATATTGTTTTCGTTGTTTAATATGCAGTGACACACAGTCAAATATTTCGCCGAACAGATCCGCCACTTTTGACGCACATAAACAACCATGAAGTCCTTGTGCTGCAGGAATTAGGATGTTTGCTGAAGGTGGGCAGCTGTCGTGCAGTGAGGGGTTTGTGTCTTTAATAATCTACGACAGTTTGCGTTCATTGAACGGTAAGAATGAATAATAAATCCATATGAAACGGTCCCTTAAAAGTCACGTCTTGCTTTCAGTTTCGGGTTTTGGTGCCCAAGTGAACAGCGCTAAGTGAATCGTGCCTGAGCCCAATTCAGAGCATTCACACTTCTCAAACGATCCAGGAAACAGGCCTAGGCACGGTTTGGACAGCATAGTGTGAATAGGCCCTTAAGTGGAATCTTCAACTGTAATGGAATTGTTTGGAGATAATTTAGACTATTTGGCGCTGTCTTATTACTAAATTATATGCAGTTTAGTATATTCTCCATTCAGCCATTTTTGCTTCTGTCGGCTTTGCTTTCTTGACTATCTGGCGCCATCTTGTGACTAAATAATATGTAGGTTAGTGTATTATCCATTCAGTAAGTTAAATTTCTGTCAGCTTTGCATTTTTGACTATTTGGCACCATCTTGTGACTGAATAATGCACAGGTTAGTGTAAACTCCATCAGCTGTTTCAGTTTCTTTCAGTTTTCAGTTTAATTCAAGAATTAATAAACTATTACGGCTCCGAATTATGCTTTGTGTCTAATTTGTAGGTTTTTAGCCATATAAGAAGCAGGATAAAGTAAATTCAGGTGGTTGTTTTCACAGAATAAAGTTCTTCAGTCTTATACAACAGTGCCAATAAAATATTGGGCTTTCTTCTGTGATAATAACCTCCTGGATGTACTTCATCCCTAACTTAAGTTGCATCTTTAACTGTGATGTTGTTTTTGGCGAAACAAGCATAAAAGAATTCATTCTGAATAGGTGCATGAGATTTCAGACACGTGTGAAGTGGATGAATGAAACTCACCAGGAAACCACTGCTCTATAAGAGCGTTAACATGATCTGTGATGAAAGCCATGGCAGAGAAATCCCTGGTCTCCGATTGGCAGATGATCTTGATGCCTCCGCTCTTCTTCTTCTTCCAGTTCAGGTCAGACGACTCCACGCTGAGAAGAAAAAGAAACAATTACAAAGTTTTCATTTTTAGTTTATCTAAATAAATTTGCTTAATGCTCTATTATTTTGATAGATTTTTCTAGAAATTCTATTTGTTTAGACTTTCCAATCCAACATATCTATTTTGCATTTAAGTTTTTATCTAATAATCATATTTTATTCCAAGGTTGATTGCAATTCACCCCCTAACAAAAACAATAATTGAATTATTATGTTTTTATTTAACCATATAAAGCGAGAAAGCTGTAGATCACAAATGCACTTTCATCCATTAAACAGATAAACTGCTGACCTGAGATATCCGCCATCAAACGTGACCAGCAATCCTTCTTTCCAGTAGATGGTTTGACTGCGGCGCACACGAAAGGTACTGCACCGATTGCGCTGCTGGTTCCCTGCAAAACTGTAGATCACCGTACTGCGGTTCCTGTGGTTCTTGGTGTTCTTCTTGGTCTCGAACGCCTGTTACCAAAAAAAACCCCAGAAGACAATCATCAAAACTAATGCACAGAAATATGAACACAACGACACTTTCACCTGAGAACTGCTCGCATTAGAACACTTATTTATCCTAATATGGTCAATGCACTGTTAAAAATAATGCACAAATTTACAGTTTTATGTATTCTGTGATTGTTTTTTTCCCTTATTTATTTATGGTTTTAAATTGCATTATGAGACTGTGATTGATAAAAAGTTGGCAATATTATAGACTTTTTTAATTGATTGAAGTGTTCTGGGGTGGTGTTGTAAATTACTGTACAAAAGCCTAGTAATAGAGTGCCAGTAGTGTTATTCAGTGGGGGAAAGAGTGCTCAAGTAAAACAAACTTAAGTAAAAGCACCATTACTTGCCCATAACTGTAGTGTAAGTAGAGTAAAATCATCTGTTGTAAAATTGACTTGAAGTATGAGTAAATAAAAGTAGCCTGTTAAAAGCACTCAAGACTAGAGAGTATTATGATAAGCAAGGTATTATGATGTTACATGCTATTTATGTGCATGTAATAACATTCTGTAGGGAATTTAGTTTGTGTTAAAGGCCATTCAAATGTAAAAAAAAAGTATAAGTAAAAAAAAAATTAAGTAGTGAGAGCAGGTTGAAGGAAAGTAGCGGAGTAAAAGTGGAGTGAAAGTAAGAGCCCAAATTTTCAAAACTACTCAGTACAGTACCTGAGGAAAACTACTCAATTGCAATAACTTGAGTATTTGTAGTTTGTTACTTCACACTAGTATTACTTCATTTCAGCATTAAAAGTCGACTGAACAGGTATTAATGTCCCATAATGCAATTAATAACCACAAATAAATGGAAAAAAAAAAAACACCTGTGAATCAACAATTTAAGTTTTACAGTGCAACTCACTGAATGATGAACAAGGTAACACTTTAGTTTAAGTACCAATTCTCACTATTAACTACAGGCTTATTACTAGGGCCAGACGGAATCTGCAGATGTTTTTTGCTATTTCTGCGGAAAATTTTGGTAAAAATCTGCGGACTTCTGCTGAATTTTTTTGGGAGTATCCAGCGGAGTATCAAAACTAAAACCTTAATATATGAAACAAAAAATAATAAATTACTGAATAAAAACTGAATAAATTCAGATTTACACAATTACTTAAGTAAATAAACAAAATTAATGATGGGCTAAAAATCAGCATAATTCTGCGGAAAAGCTGCGAAAGGGCTGCGGAATTCTGCACGCGCAGATTCCGTGTGGGCCTACTTATTACCTGCTTATTATTAAAGGTGCAGTAGGTGATTGTCTTCAGAAACATGTTTTGTTGTGCTGGTTGAAAGTCTTTTCACAGTCTAATAGTAATAATAACAGTAAATTATCTGAATGTGTTTATATGTATTTTTATATTCTGGGTAAAGCATAAAACTAAAAAATGTTCATCCAATTAAATAATGTCGGACCGACATCTCTCATAATTCCGATAAGTAGCTCAAACTGTCTGTCAGCAAATGTAGATTCGGACTTCTGCGCATCTCTGTTCATGCAGATCTGCCATTTGCGCGTGCCCGTCTGCATAAGCGGCCGCACGGTCACGAGACAGACCGGGAGAAATCAAACGCTGAATTGAAACTTTTAAAAACCTGAATCAGTATTGGAGTTACTTTTGCACGCTGGAGGAAGGACGACACCATGGCTGAAGTATTACTGTTATACAGGTAATGTTCTGCTTTAAAACGGTTCTAGTCAGTTTATTTTTTCATAAGGTTCTTTGACAGCATCTATAAAGTAGATTTATATTTAGTTTAATAACAAAAAAACAGTAAATAGCGCTATTCCGCCTAGCCTGCTTTATTGAGCTGAAGTTGCTTTTATATTCACATTGGGCCATTTTTGAACACTAACAGCCTTCCTATACTGTTTACCATGCTACTCTGAATATTCGCTTTGCAATAGCATGTAAGTGTGGCTAAGTAATAAATGTAATTCCTGCACGGCGCTGGCACTAACTAACTGGCGAATGACATCAACTAGTGGGTTGTCTGTCTGCTGTTGTGACGCGGTGCTACTCGCGATTTCAGGGGGTGTGGCTTTGAATCTCAGTCCCTCCCCGCCAACCAAAGATAATATGCTAAGCGGTTAGCATTTTGGCAGATCACCTACTGCACCTTTAAAGATATTGTATGTACTGTATATTAGTATTTATAATCTTATCATGATTATTATCATCTTAGGCGACGCAGTGGCGTAGTAGGTAGCACTGTCGCCTCACAGCAAGAAGGTCGCTGGTTCAAGCCTTGGCTGGGTTAGTTGGCATTTTTATGTGAAGTTTGCACATTCTCCCTGCATTCGCGTGGGTTTCCTCCGGGTGCTCCGGTTTGCCTCACAGTCCAAAGACATGCGGTACAGGTGAATTGGGTAGGCTAAATTTACCATAGTGTATGAGTGGGAATGAGTGTGTATGGATGTTTCCCAGAGATGGGTTGCGGCTGGAAAGGCATCCGCTGCATAAAAACGTGCTGGATAAGTTGGCGGTTCATTCCGCTGTGGCGATCCCGGATTGACAAATGAATGAATGAATTATCTTAAGCTGGACTCCACACAATCGATTTGTGTTGGGACAAATGAAGGAATAAAGTTGACTTAGTTTTTACAAATTTAAGTGGGTTTAAAAATAAACCAATTAAGCTGTCCCCCCAAAAAAATCAAGAATTGTGTTGATTAAGCTTATTTTTAAAAAGTAAACATTTTTGAGTGCCAATAATGATTAATAAGCAGCTAATTAGGAGTTTATTGAGAAAAAAGTAATTAAATGTTTATCAATAGCAAGAATTGTACCTTAAAATAAAGTGAGACCATAAATAATTTATTACTTTTAACAAGCAGGTGGTGCAGCAAACTTTGCTTGATATTCTCAGAGAAAAAAAAAATCAAAATTGTCAAAAAAATTTTGGTCAAAATAAAGACTCACTTCCTGTTTGGTGTCTTCGTCAGCATTATTAAGGCTTTTCTGGAGAATTAAATCCAGTAACTTAATTTGTGTGGTTTTGTCTTTGTCTGTGTGTGATCTGAACCAATTTTGGTGAGGATTCAACAAACACTGTAGGAGGAAAAGCGAAAAAACACACATGCAATGCTGCTACAAAATAGCATAAAGCAGGACCTCAGATATACACGAAGTGCAGAAGCATGGCTTATGAAGTCTATAATTATAATGAAAATAAAAACATGCACATGCAAATAAACTTTAACATAAGAAGAGGTTCAAGTTTAAAAGAGTCAGACAGACAGACAGGTCATTGCAAGGTTGCTGTAAAATAACAGTTGAAAAGTCCCTATGTCCCCGTTTACACTGCCAGTTAAATGTGACCCAATTCCGATTTTTTGCTCATATGTGACACAGATTAGATTTGTTCTATGACCGGGTAAACACGAAAAAAGTGCATGCATTCGGATATTCAGAGATCGGTTTTAGGCCTCCTTCATATGTGGAAATAAATCAGATACAGATCGAATATGTGACAATGCGACTGTCATGTAAACAGGCAGATCGGATTTATTGAGGTATTTCGTTCTATACATCATTAAACTTGCGACAATGTGGTGCTTTTCCGCAGTTTAATGACAGAAAGAAGAGCGTGTGTGGAGATGCCGACGCGGTAAACAACATTAGAGGAAACACAGAGGAGGAAAATGGTCAGTTGCCACAATTTGCTCCCACCAGATCTGAGATCTCTCTCGTACCCACAAATTCCTCTGAATGGTGGAGGACATCATAAAGCATATAAACCATAAGCGCAAGCTGCGATGACGGCCCTTTCCTACGGTGGCCGGGAAGTGCAAAACAACATTACAAAGTGTGAAACACTTTTACAAAGCGAGACAAATTTACATTTTAAAAAACATTTTTACCTATCATCAGACACAATTACATAGAAAAAACTATTTAATAAGGACGAAACAAATTTACATTTTAGAAAAAAATTAACAAGACGCAAAACACTTTTACAAATCCCGAAACAAATTTACAATTACTGATTCCTTACGGAAAGGGAATGTACCACACACCATTTACTATATTATTATTATAATTATTGCTAATATTTATTTATTTATTTATATATTTATTATTTTATTTTTTCAAAATTGTCCTAAGACAAGTATGGGTGTTGTTCAAAAGTTTTGGACAATTTTCTTAAACTTTTTTTTTCACCTCTTCAAACGTTGACTACAATAGTATTACACAAATTACGGCCAAATTTTGCAGCTACACAAATAAACACATCAAAACTGGAGCTGTTAATTAAAACAACAAAAAAATATGAAATCACAAATGAAATGATCTGAAAAATGTATCTGCAATATGTTTTTCCCCAAATAATGCAGACCTGTGGATAGTCATAAAAACACAGGAACCATTGCCCCCTTCTTGCAATGCAGTGTTAGGACTAGTTTATACTTCTGTGTCGAGTGATCACCGTGACCTTCCGGGTAGCCATGCATTTATACTTCTGCTTGTGGTTTGTGTTGCTCTGCAATAACACACCCGAAACACTAGTTGGCAGTTGGGGTTTTACGTTCCTCTGTGTTGAGTTTTTTCGCTGTTGTTTTGTTTTTTCTGAACGCTACCTTAATGTACAAGTAGCTCAACACTTAACACTTGTAAAAATTCGCTCTAATGGTGTCAAACGGCTCTCGATCCTGCCCACACTTGTCAGCGCTACCAAGCCGACCCATTACAGCCGCGCAAGGGCTATGTGACCGCACGAAGACTGCGCCAGACCATACGCGTGCGATTGACACAGAAGTATAAATCAGCATTTACATGCTGCTGTATACTTCCAGCATATAGCCTCTAATTCTCTGCCTGAAATGACTGCGATTATGCCTTTTATTGGTCAGTTAATCATCTGTTTAGAATGTGTGTTTTACCTGCAGGTCCATCTGGTTTAAACTGATGAGCATCCGGGCTATAAAGCGCTCCCAGAATCCCGCAGGAACGAAGCTCATCTTGAAGTGCCGCTGGATGCTATTGTTGCTCTGCTGCCGGAAGCCGTGAATGTCCAGCGCAGGTTTAGGGGGTAAAAGGTGTGGCAGCAGATAGCTGGGAAGTGGAGAAGAAAAATCCTCAGTTAAATCAGGGTTGAAACTCTCAACACTTACAATATATGTAACATATGTAATGCATGCAAAGCAGGAAACCTTTTTTACGTGTGTGAATGTGTAATAAACTCTCAAAAACAGATTTTTTTTTTGGAAAAAATATATATATTAGATAACACTGATATTAGCCTATTGACATATTACAATAACACTGCAATATCAAAACAGTAACTTGAAATAACAGTAAAACTGGATAAAAAAAAATATTTTTTTATAATTGTTTAAAAAATTTGCCATTAAAACTTGCCAAGAGCGCTGCCTGCAATTATAAACTAGCTTAGAGCGCCATCTGCTGTTAAAAACTAGCCGAGCACCATCTGCTGTTACAAACTAGCCTAAAGAGCCATCTGCTGTTAAAAACTGGCCTAGAGCGCCATCTTCAGTTAAAAAACCAGCCTAGAGAGCCTCTGCTGTTAAAAAAACAGCCTAGAGCACCATCTGCTGTTAAAAAAACAGCCTAGAGCACCTCTGCTTAAAAAAAAAAGCCTAGAGCGCCTCTGCTTAAAAAAAAACAGCCTAGAGCGCCTCTGCTGTTAAAAACTAGCCTAGAGCACAATCTGCTGTAAAAAAAAAAACTAGCCTAGAACATCATGTGCTGTTAAAAAACCAGCCTAGAGTGCCTCTGCTGTTAAAAAAACAGCCTAGAGCACCATCTGCTGTTAAAAAACCAGCCTAGAGCACCTCTGCTTGAAAAAAAAAAAACAGCCTAGAGTGCCTCTGCTGTTAAAAACTAGCCTATAGCACAATTTGATGTAAAAAACTAGCCTAGAGCACAATCTGCTGTAAAAAATAGCCTAGAGCACCTTGTGCTGTTAAAAAACCAGCCTAGAGCACCATCTGCTGTTGAAAACTAGCCCAGAGCGCCTCTGCTGTTAAAAAAAACAGCCTAGAGCACCATTTGCTGTTAAAAACTAGCCTAGAGCACCATCTGCTGTAAAAACAGCCTAGAGCACCATCTGCTGTTAAAAACTAGCCAAGAGCGCCTCTGCTGTTAAAAACTAGCCTAGAGCACCATCTGCTGTAAAAAAACTAGCCAACAACACCATGTGCTGTTAAAAAACCAGCCTAGAGCGCCTCTGCTGTTAAAAAACCAGCCTAGAGCGCCTCTGCTGTTAAAAACTAGCCTAGAGCACAATCTGCTGTAAAAAATAGCCTAGAGCACCTTGTGCTGTTAAAAAACCAGCCTAGAGCACCATCTGCTGTTGAAAACTAGCCCAGAGCGCCTCTGCTGTTAAAAAAAAACAGCCTAGAGCACCATCTGCTGTTAAAAACTAGCCTAGAGCACCATCTGCTGTAAAAACAGCCTAGAGCACCATCTGCTGTTAAAAACTAGCCAAGAGCGCCTCTGCTGTTAAAAACTAGCCTAGAGCACCATCTGCTGTAAAAAAACTAGCCAACAACACCATGTGCTGTTAAAAAACCAGCCTAGAGCGCCTCTGCTGTTAAAAAACCAGCCTAGAGCGCCTCTGCTGTTAAAAAAACAGCCTAGAGCACCATCTGCTGTTAAAAACTAGCCTAGAGCGCCTCTGCTGTTAAAAACTAGCCTAAAGCTCCATCTGCTGCTAAAAACTAGCCTAGAGTGCAGTCTGCTGTTAAAAACTAGCCTAAAGCACCATCGGCTGTGAAACAAAAGCCTAGAGCGCCTCTGCTGTTAAAAACCAGCCTAAAGCACCATCTGCTGTTAAAAACCAGCCTAGAGCACCATCTGCTGTTAAAAACCAGCCTAGAGCACCATCTCCTGTTAAAAACTAGCCTAGAGCACCATCTGCTGTTACACACTGGCCTAGAGCACCATCTCCTGTTAAAAACTAGCCTAGAGCACCATCTGCTGTTACACACTGGCCTAGAGCACCATCTCCTGTTAAAAACTAGCCTAGAGCACCATCTGCTGTTACACACTGGCCTAGAGCACCATCTCCTGTTAAAAACTAGCCTAGAGCACCATCTGCTGTTACACACTAGCCTAGAGCACCATCTGCTGTTCAAAAGAACTAGCCTAGAGCACCATCTGCTGTTACAAACTAGCCTAGAGCACTGCATTTAAGTTCAGACTGATCTTGATGCTGCAGTTTGTGTACCTGCTGCTGGCGACGGGCAGAGCAATCTCGAATTTGGCCAGGAACTGGAAGTACTGCTCCTCGGTCTGCGGGGTGAAGCCGGTGCCCACCAACAGCATTCGCAGGTCCTCAGCCTTGATCACACCGTTTCGTGCCACTGAGCGAGAGCCGCGCAGGTTAATGATGCGCTCCAGACACTCTGAGAGCCACACGGCGTCCAGAAAATACAGCTTACACAGGCCGTGACTGGTGTCCGAAAAGTGCAGGACGCTGCCCGTCTCCATAAGGAAGCTGATTGCTGTCACACACAAACATACAGTTGAAGTCAGAATTATTAGCCCTCCCGAATTATTAGCGACTCTGAATATCTGTTAGCCCAATTTCTGTTTCAGAAAATAACAACTAAAATTCTAATAACAGATTTCTTTAAGCTTTGCCAAATATAATAGTTTATTTATTGTCATAATGAACACAATAATTTATTATAAAAGAATAACCACAACATTTAAACAGTCATGCATTACCAGTCTGCAGATCCTCATAGTCTTTGATATCGCTGGCAGGACTCTGCTCAATGATCTGCTCCAGTTCAGAGTCAGTCAGATACTGAACCTCATCAGCCTCGTCTCTCCTCACTCGCTCAGCCTTTATGGCCTCCTGCAGGATCAGGTAACTTTTGGGAATCTGTGGAATAAACACAAACGCAGATGATTACATTAGAACACGGCAACCTTTCAGAACAAGAGCTTGCAACATCTTATTTATGCACTGCAACTGATGGGATCATATTTATTCACAAACACTAGTATAACATGACTCCTCACACATATGACGAATAATTATTTGCAGAAAATCACTGCTCAAATATATGCAGTTATTTGCATAAAACTACTCCTCGAACATATGCAAAATTACTTGCACACAATTACTCCTCAAACATAAGCATAATTATTTGCATAAAATTACTTCTCGCACATATGCATAATTATTTGCATAAAACTACTCCTCACATATTAAAATGTAATTATTTCAATAAAATTATTCTACACACTAATGGATAATTTTTACACCCATATGTATAATTATTTGCATAACATTCCTCATACATTTGCATAATTATTTGCATAACATTCCTTAAACATAAGCATAATTATTTGCATAAAATTACTTCTCGCACATATGCATAATTATTTGCATAAAACTACTCCTCACATATTAAAATGTAATTATTTCAATAAAATTATTCTACACACTAATGGATAATTTTTACACCCATATGTATAATTATTTGCATAACATTCCTCATACATTTGCATAATTATTTGCATAACATTCCTCACACATATGCATAATTATTTGCATAAAAATACTCCTCAAACATATGCAAAATTATTTTGCATAACATTCCTCATACATTTGCATAATTATTTGCATAACTACTCCTTGCACATATGCTTAATTATTTGCATAAAATACTCCTCAAACATATGCAAAATTATTTGCATAACATTCCTCATACATTTGCATAATTATTTGCATAACTACTCCTTGCACATATGCTTAATTATTTGCATAAAATACTCCTCAAACATATGCAAAATTATTTGCATAACATTCCTCATACATTTGCATAATTATTTGCATAACTACTCCTTGCACATATGCTTAATTATTTGCAGAAAATTACTCTGTTTTACATTTGCATAATTTTTTTAATGAAATTACCTCTCGCACAAATGCATATTCCTCACATTTATATAATGATTTGCATACAATTACTCAGTTTTACATATGCATAATTATTTGCAGAAAATAACTCCTCACACATATGCATAATTATTTGCAGAAAATAACTCCTCACACATATGCATAATTATTTGCAGAAAAAATACTCCTCAAACATATGCAAAATTATTTGCATATAACTACTCCTTGCACATATGCTTATTAATTATTTGCAGAAAATTACTGTTTTACATTTGCATAATTATTTCCATGAAATTACTTCTCACACAAATGCATATTTGTTTGCATAAAACTACTCCTCAGACATTTATATAATGATTTGCATACAATTACTCAGTTTTACATATGCATAATTATTTAAATAAAATTATTTTACGCACTTACCGATCATTTTTTTTGCATACATTATGCATTCTACACACGGATGTATGCAAAAAAATATCCGTGTGTAGAATAATTTTATTCAAATAATTACATTTAAATATGTGAGAAGTAGTTTTATGCAAATAATTCTGCACATGTTTGAGGAGTATTTTTTTATGCAAATAATTATGAATATGTGTGAGGAGTCATTTTGTGCAAATAATTATGCATATGTGCGAGTATTTTTTAATAATAATTACATTTTTACAGTTTTATGCAAATAATTATGCATATGTATGCAAAAAAATGATCCGTGTGTAGAATAATTTTATTCAAATAATTACATTTATATATGTTAGGAGTAGTTTTATGAAAATAATTATGCATATGTGCGAGTAGTTTTATGCAAACAATTATGCATATGTATGCAAAAAAAATTATCCGTAAGTGTGTAAAATAATTTTATTCAAATAATTATGCATATGTAAAACTGAGTAATTGTAATAAATTTACTCAGTTTTACATATACATAATTATTTGCACAAAATGACTCCTCACACATATGCATAATTATTTGCATAAAAAAATACTCCTCAAACATGTGCAGAATTATTTGCATATAACTACTCTTTGCACATATGGTTAATTATTTGCAGAAAATTACTCGCACATATGCATAATTATTTTCATAAAACTACTCCTCACATATTTAAATGTAATTATTTGAATAAAATTATTCTACACACGGATTTTTTTTGCATACATATGCATAATTATTTGCATAACACTACTTGCACATATGCATAATTATTTGCATAAAACTACTCGCACATATGCATAATTATTTGCACAAAATTACTCCTCAAGCTTATGCATAATTATTTGTATAAAACTACTTCTCGCACATATCCATTTTTGTTTGCATAAAACTACTCCTCACACATTTATAAAATGATTTGCATGAAATTACTCGCTGCACTTATGCATAATTATTTGCATAAAATGACTCCTCACACATATTCATAATTATTTGCATAAATGGTCTTCTCAAATTGCATGAAGTTACTTCTTTCACTTATACACAATTACTTGCATACATTTACTCCCACTTATGAAAACCTATTAGCAAAAATTACTTGCACATATGCATAATTACATGCAGTAAATTACGTCTCGCATATTTTTTTTTACAATAACCTGCATAAAATACTTGCATGAAACAACTCCTCACAATGAAGTATAATTATCTGCATAAATGAATCCTCACATTTACTACCCCCCCACCCCCCCCCATTCAGATTGCTTTGGATACAAATATCTGCTACACGCATACACATAAAAAGCAGACTGCACTGTATGCTTTGCTGCTTTTCTGTCCTACTGAGAAAAAAATATGCCATTAATACAGTAATAACTAGCACTAACCAGTCTTCCTACTAGTTTATGGCAGCTAGCAGGGTTGCTGATGTCCTTCATGGAGCAGGAGACCTGAAACAGCAGCCTCTTTAGTCCATCCAGGCCTTCTAGGGTCTTGCAGGACACCTCGCTGTCAGACAAACACACGCACACAATTAGCAGTACCTGCCATAATTGCAGTAAACATACAGAGACCACCTCTTCCAGCAGGTCTTAATATGCTTTTGGTACGCACCAGAACTGCACTGAAGCTCTGGTGTGTTTTAAATGAATGAAATGAGACGGGTATGAAAGAACCCTTAGGCCTTTAACAGAGCATTTTAAAGACTAGTTGTCGCTCTTTTGAGTTATCCAGGGCCGTATGACTTCACAAATTGTGAATATTCATTTTCCTTTGGTTTAATTCCTTTATTTATCAGGGGTCGCCACAGCAGAATAAACCGCCAACTTATCCAGCATATGTTTTACATATTTACAACTGGGTACTGTTAATTGATTAACTTTTAAAAGCTTTTAAGGACACCCTGAATGAGCTGAAGTGATGAAAACAGCCTGTTACAACCTCTTTGATGTTAGTCTAGGGTAAAAGCATAGACTGTAAAATATATGGACGTAGTGTCCGTGACGTCACCCATAGGTTTCTAAAGAGCGCAAAAGAAGCCACAAGTAGGCGCGGCCAACCGTCGCCATTTTGTTCGTGTGTCATCACACCCATGGCGGGATACCAAACAAGGGCAAAGAGGCGGAGAGTGAGTGGAGCTACAGACACCTGCTGGCATTTAGCTTGGACCTGGTGCAGACACCTAGTTTACTTTGGGAGAACGCTTAATACTTTATCACCTGCGACTCGTTTGTATTCTGACCACTTGTGCTTGGCTGTACACTATATCAATAAAGTGTTTAGACTTTTAAAAACACTGCTGTAATACATTGAGCCACTAAACATTGTTCTTATGACGTTTCTCAACAGGAGGAAAACGCGAACTACTTCCAAACACTTCAGATATAGTCTGTGTTAGTTAATGTAAGACTATTGATGAAATCCAGCATAACACTGTATGACAACGCTTCAGATGACTGATCTAGAGCCCACAGCTAATCAATCTGACAGATTCTGAAGTGCATTAGAGCTCTAAATATAAATATAAACGATAAATGATCTTAAATAAAACAAATACATATATAGAGATGGTATATTAGTATATAACTTTACTCACATGGGAAACGGAGGCCACGTGAATGGTTTGTGAGCACAATTAAGTGCACTCAGCATGCCATGCCATCAAATAATTGTAGGCAACAAGTCCAAAAGGCAGTTGACTGTGTAAAGCCACATAAAACAACACAGAAATATGGTAAATATGCAGAGATCAGTGGCTAATCTGCCGGATTCAGCTGAGCTGATGTGACGGCGACCAACGAGACCTAGCTGTCACTCAAGTGGCCACTCCCTTAATTATGTAAACTTAATATAACTTAATATAAAGGAAACGGATGAGTTATAAAAAAATTCACCCCCCTCACAGTTGTCATGAAGGGTAATATTAGCTGTTTTAACCAAAATCTTTTTTTGTACCAGGCTGTAAACACCTTTTTTTCTGCTGTAAAGTTGGCCATTCTAACAGTGGGCTCAATTGAAATTTGCTCTGTTTTGGAGCCAGGAGCGGCTAAGACTAGCGGAATTTCGGATGAATTGCAGTTTTAGTTACTTCCGTATTGGCTTCCTGAGAGAGAGCGGGAGGTTGTCGCTTGGGTAAAAGTAATAACATTTAAAAGGTGTGGAATTTTTTCAAGATGATGGGTGAAAGTAAAAGACACAAACAACAAAACTGCCAACAAAAGTGATTTAATGTACAAAGAAGTGAAATCAGAATAAAGCCCAAATATATATACAATAAGAAAAATATTTACAATAATAAAGTAAGAAATTAAACAAAGTATCAAACAAAATTAGGTCAACTCAAGAGTAAGGGGACGCTAGTGAAGCCAAATCAAAGAAATAAATATATATCAAAACAATTCTAACTCATAAGCAAACCTACTGCAGGTGTTTCCAGGTGATGTCCGGGTATCCGCTGCATCTGGCGCCCGATGGCGTTCTGCAAAGGGCCAGAATGTAGGCCCTCAGTGTGGCCACTCGCTCCGTGCGGAACTTAGTGTCAATGAGGTCCAGATGAGTGCCCACCACAATCACTGCAGAGTTAGGAGCACGAGCCTGGACAAAAAAACAAAACACACAAAAAACACATTTAGACGTTATAAGATGACACATTATAGAAAACAAAAGGGAATTTGTGTTCAGTTAAAAATGAGGAAAAAGTATGAAAAGATCTCTCTGTGTTGGCGTGGGTTTCCTCCGGGTGCTCCGGTTTCCCCCACAGTCCAAACAAGTGCGCTATAGGTGAATTGAGTAAACTAAATTGCCTATAGTGTATGAGTGCGTGTGAGAGTGTATGAGTGTTTCCCAGTACTGGGTTGTGGCGGGAAGGGTATCCGCTGTGTAAAACATATGCAAGAATAGCTGGTGGTTCATTCCGCTGTGGCGAACCCTGATAAATAAGCGGCTAAGGCAAAAGAAAATAATTGAATGAATGAATGAATGAAGGAAGATCAGATGGGATGTGAGATGCTTATAGTCTACAACAATATTGTAATTGTTGTTTTAACGATATGTGACGTGACATGAACGGAGGTTAACGTGACAAAAAAATGTACAATTACTAAATAAATAAAAAAATAGGAATAAATAAATAATAAAACAATAAAAATAAACAAATAATAAAATCATATATTTAAAAATACATACATAGAAATTAATAAATAAATATGCTTTTTTAAAAACCTTTTTTAATTGTACTTACAATAGCAACATACATTATTAAACTAGTAAACAAAAACCAAAAAATATGTTAAACATAACACAATCATTTTTATTTAATTACTCAGAAATAAATTATCATTAAATCTGACAAACTACATAAAAATAAATATGGATACATAAAACAAATAAATCTACAACCCAAAAAAAATTAAATCAAAATATTTTGATATTGCAAACAATGTTTTTTTTTGTCTTTTATTTATTCTGAAGAAAATTTAGTACTTATAATTATTAATATTATAAACACGTTTGTGATAACAAAATGTTGCTTATTATTCCTCCATTCATTTATTTTCTTTTTGGCTTAGTCCCTTTCTTGTTCAGGGGTCGCCACAGTGGAACAAATCGCCAACTTATCCAGCATATGTTTTACACAGCCGATGCCCTTCCAGCTGCAACCCAGTACTGGGAAACACCCATACAAACTTCAGCCAATTCACCTATAGCGCAAGTTTTTGGACTGTAAGGGGAAACTGGAGCACCCGGAGGAAACCCACGCGAACACGGGAGAACATGCAAACTCCACACAGAAATTCCAACTGGCCCAGTTGGGACTTGAACCAGCGACCTTGCTGTGAGGCGACAGTGTGAACCACTAAGCCACCGTGTCGCCCTTGCTTATTATTATAAAACAGAATAAAAACAATAAATTAAAATATTAAGCAGTTGCTAAAATACTAATATATGCAACATAAAGTATATAAAATATACCTGTTTTCATATTTAAAAAAGCAAGCGGTCACTTTAAGCCATACATTTCACTCAGAAGTATACAGAAATTCTCTTTTCAATTCAATTCAAAAGAGCTTCATAGCATTTTAATGAAACCTTTAAAAATGAAGTAATAAAGTTAAAATGATAAACTGCATAAATACATTTAGAATTTTGATAAACACATACAGAAATAAGAAACAAATACCAACATATGGATTAAAAGAGAAGTTATTATTAATTCAAACTTTTAAGAAATTAAAAGATTAAAAATATATTAGTATTAAAATAAAGGAAAATAATATACAATACACAACTGTACATTTATTCAGATGGTTTGTAATGATGTTTGTCTAGTTTGTTCTCTCTTTTCTCTCACCTCGATGTTGAGCAGCCAGGACTGCAGGTTTGCCACGGCTTCTTCTCCTAAAGCCAGATTCCAGATCACCATATACAGAGCTTTATCAGTGAAGAAACACTGGTTGACCGTCGACATGCTGGCCGGACCACCGATGTCCCACACATTAAAGGAGACTGAATCTACCTGTGTGGACCAAAACACAAACAAACATATTCATTCCTCCTCTAAACTGAATCAGGTAAAGAAGTGAAGATATTAATAGTGTTTTATTAATCACCAATGCAACTACAAGAAAATAAACTCTCAAAGCAACTTGACAGGCATATCTAGTTTAATAAAACAAAAGTACATTTATCAGCTATCTCTATTAGTAAATACAAGTTGTATTTAAATGAAGTGCAGTGGGAAAACTAAATGAATCAAGAAATACTCACTTTGCTGTGTTTTGCTTGAGTGTGTCACACTTTCTCATATAATATTGATTTTAAGATTATTGCCAATGATAGAAGAAAAGATTCTGAGACTTATGCCTTATTATATGCTTACTTTTAGATTTTGTATAATTTAGTCATATTTATAATCATTTTAAACTTTTTTATTCATTAAATATTTCATATTATATTAGGCAACAAACTGGAATTAGATATTTTTGACAACCCATATGACTTGCTCTTTAACAATGTAAGCCAACCTAAAGTAATGTAACCCAAAACATAACCCAACCTAACCTAACCTACAGTAACAAAAAAACATTACATAACCTAATGTAAAACATAACCTTACCTAACAAAAACATAACTTAATGTAACATAAAACATAATATAACAAAACAAAACATAAAGCCTAACATAACCTAACATAAAACATTAGATAACTCAACGTAAAACAGAACATAACCTAACAAAAAAACATTGCATAATGTAACATAACCAAACCTAACCTAAAACATAGCCTATAAATCAACACATAACCTAACATAACTAACCTGGCATAACAACTAATGCAATACCTATCCTAACATAATCTAACACATAACCTAACCCAGGGGTCGGCAACCCAAAATGTTGAAAGAGCCATATTGGACCAAAAAAAAACAAAAACAAATATGTCTGGAGCCGCAATAAATTAAAAGCTTTATATAAGCCTTATAATGATGGCAACACATGCTATATGTATTTATATTAGCTATATTAGCCGACTAAAAAAATGACTTCGTTGGCTACAAATACATACTGAAGGGTCAATCTCCAAGGGTGTGTGTCAAGGAAAGACAGTCTCGTTTTTTCCTTTCGCAACTCACAAAATCTGCTCCCAAATGCAGTTTGCATATCAACGATCGCACCTTGTAAATAATCACCGTTGAGTTAGTGATCGGGATGGGCTTCTTTGAATTCTCTCAGGGAGGGAAAATGAGAAAGCGTGCCCTGCTGAACATCTTTGGCAAAGACAGCTTGCGCTCCATGGCGCATCACACAGCCGCCAGTTTGTTTACAACAGCTACCTGCCTGGCATCCCGCCCTGCTGATAGAAACGTGTGTCGCAGGCTATGACGCAAATCTTCGTTGACAGAAATGTTGAAATTAAATATTCTACACACTTTTACAGCATTGGAAAACGTTAAGATTGTTTGTCCTCCTATAGAAACCATATTAAAACAAAAAAATATATTTACCTCCCTCATCGTTTTCCATTTTCAAACATTTTTTGAAAAAGTTCCAGGGAGCCACTAGGGCAGCGCTAAAGAGCCGCATGCGGCTCTAGAGCCGCGGGTTGCCGACCCCTGACCTAACCTATCATATAACCTAACCTAACTTAGCATAACCTAACATATAGCATAATCTAGCATAGCATAACATAATCTAGCATAGCATAACCTAACATAAAACATTAGATAACTCAACGTAAAACAGAACATAACCTAACAAAAAAACATTGCATAATGTAACATAACCAAACCTAACCTAAAACATAGCCTATAAATCAACACATAACCTAACATAACCAACCTGGCGTAACAACTAATGCAATACCTATCCTAACATAATCTAACACATAACCTAACCTATCATATAACCTAACCTAACTTAGCATAACCTAACATATAGCATAACCTAGCATAGCACAACATAATCTAGCATAGCATAACCTAACATACAACATAACCCAACCTAACATATAACTAGGGCTGGGCGATTTTTCCGATTTTTTCGATTAATTCGAATTTACGTTTTAAGACGATTTAATTTTGAATCAAAATATATATATAATACATTACAATGGCAACAGTGCGCTTTGGTTCACTCTCTGTATGAAGCAGGAAGCACACCAGAAGCGCCTCTCAGCGACGCGCCGCACAGCACCACGCAGCTCCATGGATTTTAGAATTCTAAACCAGTTTCTATACACACACCGGTGCCGCCCAGCCACGATTCACGAAGCAGTTCATATTTCAGCCGGCCCACAGAGCGCCATCTGATTAGTTTCATGTTAAATATCATACGAATGTGCACGTTTAGTGTGTGATAGTTTAAACGATCATGTGCGCACCGTGTCGCGGCGCTTCTGGTGTGCGACCTGCTTGACTGCCTGTTAAAGCATGAAGTCATGTAGGATTTTAGTTGTTGCACGTCTGTGTGGATTGTCAAGACATTCCCCCATCAAGTCGATAAACTCGATCTCAACATGCATGAAGGACGTGCAATGTGAAAAATCGCGCCGATCTTTTGATTTGAACACGAGCAGAGGTGAGGGCCTGTAGCAGTGAAAATGAAAGTACCCGCCCCCATGACGTCATGTAGCGGACCTAGTTGAATACCAGACAGATCAGGCAGCATAATACAGAGAGTGGAGCAAAGCGCATCAAATGATCGGTATTTAAAGGGGGAAAAAGAAAAATATATTAAATATAATATTTTACATTAGACACACATCTGGTGCTTGTATTTGTTCCTGCTATACGTAGACAACTTCACGCATTGGGTTAAATTAGGCTTTACAGTTTCCATGTTCAGTCCTTTTCTTCCACTGTATCTTTTTAAGAAAAAGGCAGCAGCATTACAACCTGTCATTCAATCAGAAGAAGACAAAGCCAAAGCCGAGCTGACAGCCAATCTTTCCCAGGCAAAACTTGCAAAAAATGCCTCTGTATTCCTGCAAGTGCAATATTTACACAAATATTTCTTATTCAAATCTTCAGCAACAATATTTAACTCGTGAATTTGTTATACATTTATTTACACCTTGACCGATTTTTGTATGACATGGTCATTAAAAATACAATGTTCCTTAACCAGATGGTTTTTCAAGTTATTTTTAAAGAGAATGTTACTTCAGTTATGTTGTTGTAATGTTTTGAGAAAACTAGTAACACAATAATAAAAAAAAAAAAAAAAAAAAAATCCGAAACCGAAATCGTGAATCGGTCAAACTTTATAAAAAACCTAGTTTTTTTTTTTTTTTACATAACCTAAAATAACCAACCTTGCGTAACAACTAATGCAAAACCTAACCTAACCTATCCTAACACAATCTAACACATCTAAACACATCTAACCTATCATTTAACCTAACCTAATTTAGCATAACCTAACATATAGCATGACCTAGCATAGCATAACATAACCTAGCATAGCATAACCTAAAATATAACATAACCCAACCTAACATATAGCATAACCTAACATAATCTAACCTTACCTAGTATAACATACCCTAACATAACAACATAACCTAACCTAAAATAATAACCTAACATATAACCTAACCTAACACAACACAACACAACATAACCTAACATAACCTAACAAAACACAACACAACACAACACAACACACCATAAAACTATACGATGTCTATCAAATCTGCAGAATTTGTTTCTTAAAAATCAGTCATGTGTAATGAAGCACTCTTAATTTGTGGGCGAACATTTCTTTTAAATAGCCACAAATATTAATCAAGTGAATGTGCGTACACACACAAACACACACTGAGCGATCTGCTGGTGTGCGAGCGTGAGCAGTAATTGTTCACAGCTGCAGGAGGAGTGACGTCCATGAGGCTTTGTAACCTTTGTGTACATATGCTTCTGTCCATGATACATGTGTAAGAGGTCATGAACAACCATATGACATCAGCTCCTCTGTATGTGTATGTGTGTGTGTGTGTGTGTGTTTGTGTGTGTGTGCGTTTCTTGTACTGCTTACAATGTAGGAACCTAATGTCCCCACAAGTATAGCAATACCAGTTCATTTTGACCTTTTTTTTGGTCCCATGAGGAAAACCGCTCATAAATTGCACAAAATCAGGTATTCTAACAATTTGAAAATGCAGATTGTTTCCTGTGAGAGTTAAATTCAGGCGTAGATGGGCAGAATTTACACTTTTAACAGTATAAACATCATTACATCTTTGGCAAGTCCCCATAAAGACTGCTCTACCAGTCTGTGTGTGTGAGTTTTGTGTGTGTGGTCGTGACTCAGACGTCGTCTTGAGACTGGAAACACTGCTAACTCAGGCTCAGAAAGCTTGTATAAACACAAAAAAAGGCGGGAGGTCAAAGGTCAGCCGCTGCTCATTCATAAACTCAGTGTTGGCACTTTAATGGGGTTTTATTTACAGACTATACAGTTTTTTTTCCTCTCAGTCTTATTTTTGACCTGCCATGTTTACAGAGTTTAAGCAAACATAGCAGCTGGCTTCCCAGTGAGCAAGGCATTGTGGGACAGATGTGACGAAGCCACACCCTGAAAAACAACGGGATGATGGACTGGGAAATGAGTGGAAGCTGGAATGATGTAGTCAGACGCTTCAATCAGTGTAAGATGACTTCATTTTACCACAGTGAGTCACAGATACTGACCTCTCCAATGTGATGAGCTTTAACACCGCTTCTGTTGTATTTATACCATGACAGAATATATTATTTAATATTTGTGTGTCTGTGAGTCTGCGTGTGAATGAGAACATGAGTATCAGTATGTGACTGAGTGTGCGAGTATGTGTGTGTAAGTAAGTGAGCGCTTATGTGAGCATGTCTGTGTGTGGGTGAGTGAGTGAGGCTTACAGCAGTCTTGAGGACTCCCACGGGCCGCTCCAGTTCCCAGCTGGAGGTGTGTACGCTGCAGTCGGTGTTGATGAAGGGCGAGGGTTTGCCAGTCTGCAGGCCCTCCAGTAAAGCACTCTTGCCCTGGCGCGGAGGACCAACAACCATCAGCTTCAGCAGCCGACAGGGCTCAGCACCACGCAGCTCCGCTCGCAGATACGCCAGAACTGCAGCAGGACCTGACACACACACACGGAGGAAATCACTAAAGGCAACGATATCATGCTATCATGACGATATAATGCGCTAATAAGTACTTATTATTATGCATTTACACAGTTGCCATTCATCTATGTAAACACGCGAAAACAACATTAGCGTTAAAGCAGACACTGTAAAAAGCTCATTCCCAGCCACTAGACGTTTCTGACAGGGCATTTGAGTGTCAGATGTGAAAGTATGTTGTGGGACTGCTGTACAGGAGTTATGATTATGGATTATAGATAGCGAAATTTAGCGGTTTTTGTTTTAGCGTTTTTTTTTTTTTCATCAAATTTTTCTTTTATTTTGTATTTTTTGAACACAGAAAATATGCCGTAGACAATCAGCATGAAACAGAATGTGTAGATATACATAAATAAACCAATATACAGTTGTTAAATAATAGTATCAATAATAGCATCAGCCTTGACAACAATATTATCAGTAAAAAGGAAAAACGGAAGAATAATGACAAGGACATACTATTGCAAATAAAAATTACAAATAAAATTAATTAATACATATATGCACACATATACATACATACACATACATATATGCACGTACACATACAAACAAACACACATACACCCACATATGCATACATGCACACATACATACACATACCCATATAAATATGCACACATGCATACACATAAATAAAACTAATTTCAAAACCAAAAAGGCAATGAGCCACATCTGTACTTAGTGTTAAGTAAGGTTAAAAATAAACCAATCGAAAATAAACAATTAAATAGAAAAATGGTGATATACACATAGAGATAGGTATTTAAAACTGTGCTCAAAAAGGTCTACGACAATGAACGTTATTAGAAGCCCAAACAGGGAACCTTAAATTACTATAAAAAGAGAAAAACAAGAAAAGAAAAGAAAAAAAAAGTAAAAATAATGTAATAATAAAACATAATTCTAATGAATAATAAATGAGGAAAAATAAATAAATAAATAAAAAAATAAAAAATAAAAAAGCCTGGAGCCAGAAGATCATGCTTTTTGATGTCTCATGGATTCAAGTTAGTAAATCTTTAAGTCTGTGTAAAGTTGTGTAAAGGATGCGAGCAGTGGACATTTCCATATATACAATGTCAATAAAAGCATTAATCCAAAAATGATGATTAAGAGAATGAGGGGGCTTCCATCTTGTTGCAACTATTTTCTTGGCTGCAGTCAAGCCAGCTAAAAACACCCGCTTTTGAGTTTTATTAAGTTGAATGCCAGAAAAATCATTTAAGATGAAAATAGAGGGGGCGAGAGGGGTTTTAGCGTTTTTTTAAAGCATGACGGTAAAACACGAACACGGTTATGAATATATTAAAACATGTGCTTGTTTGTTGTAAAAACTCATAATAATGACAAACATACTTATTTGTGCATCTCCTGATTTCCATGTGCATCCATGACCACACACACACACACACTGGCACACTGCTTTGAGCACATCTACCCAGATGTGAGCTGTGCACGTCAGACTTAATCAAAGATCCACCGCTGGATCTATTCTCACTATGTTTGTTAAACGTGATATTTAATTCATCTTGTCTTTATCTACGACATATTCCCTGACTTTGGTCTTTTGAATCTATTACTTGTTCTCAGGTAATGTGCTTTGGCTGAGCGCAAAGATAAGTTAGGTCAATATAATAGTTAAAGCTGCAGTGGGTGATTGTCTTCAGAAGCATTTGTTGTTGTGCTGGTTGAAAGTCTCTTCACAGTCTAATAGTAATGACTAAAGTAAATGATCTAAATGTATTTATATGTATTTTTATATTCTGGGTAAGGCATAAACCTAAAAAATGTTCATCCAATTAAATAGAGTCGGAACGACATCTCTAATAATTCGGATAAGTAGCCCAAACTGTCTGTCAGCAAATGCAGATCTGAACAACTGCGCAGCCTTTTGTACGCAGCTCCGCCGCCTGCTGAATCAAAACTTTTTAAAAACCTGAATCAATATTGGAGTTACCTTTGCACGCTGGAGAAAGGATGACACCATGTCTGAAGGATTTCTCTTAGACAGGTAATGTTCTGTTTTAAAACTGTTTTAGCTTCACGCAAAGCTGATGTAACGTTAGATGTTGTTGCTACAAACGGGTTATGTCTTCACAGAAGTGTTGTTCAGCCACTAAAATCTTCCGATGAAAGATTGATAAGACTTTCAGTTTCATAAGAGACCTTTTACAGCATTGATAATTTAGATTTTAATTAGTTTAACAACAAAACACAAGTAAATACCACTATTCCGCCTAGTCTTCCTATATTGTTCACCATGCAACTCTAAATATTCCCTCTGAAATAGCATGTCAGTTTGGCTTGCACGCCGCCGAACAAGCACTAGTCGCTTTTAACACATGAGAGAGGGTTCTTTTGCTGTGCTCCTGTTTCAGGAGGCGTGGCTCTAGATGGCAGGGGAGGGACTGTGATTCAGAGATTTATGGTAAGCTGTTAGCATTGTGGAAGATCTCCTACTGCACATTTAATATAACCATGTGCACTAAGTCTGCACATATGACTTGCTTGCCTTTATTTCCTATACTGTATAAACTTTTTGTACGTTATACTGCTATAATGGCCATTAATGGTTATTAAAACTGATACTCAGCAAAAGAGAGGGCATGTTTAGTATTTTCAATGAAAATGAAAGGAGGCAGTGATGTTATAGGCTCTGTTTTGTTATAAATATGTATACAGTGAAGATGACGCTCATATAAATATGCAGCTACATGACACCTCAACAGTTTTGGTGTTTGTTAAGTTGCTAATATCAAAATAAAAATAGGCAGTTCCTTACATCATGTTTTCATTTTACTGTTAAGTGAAACAACGTAGCCAGGGTGATGAATGAGGTTATAATGTGCACTGTTCCCTTTGAAGATTTACCCGACGTGTCCTCGGGAGTTTTCCATATCCAACTTGCGAAGTCTGAACTTACAAGGAGAGGATGCAGGACTGAACTGTGTATAGGCAACTCAATATTGAGGAAAAGCCCCAATCAGATGTCTGCAGCCCCGCCTCCGTTTTCAGATGTCTCCGTTTTCCCTTATCCACACTGGCAACAGTGTTTTAGAATAAAAACGGCCTCTTCAGCCTTTAAAAAAAAAAAAACTCAGTTTTCGGCGCTCGAAAACTCCAGCGTAGTGTGGATGGATGGCATAACCGTAGCAAAACATACGTGTTTTAAAACGAAAACGTATCAGTGTAAACGGGGCCTAAGTGTCAGTATATCATGCAAAACTAGTTTCAAGCGCTTTATACAAAACCTAAGCACTTTGAATGCACCTTTAGAGTAAATTCAAGGATTTCCAGCACCCATTAAACACTAATTAAAAAAAAAAAAAAAAAACAATGATATAAAAACTAGAAATTTTATTAAATTGCTATTAGTCAATTCAATAGTATAGACCAGGGGTGGGCAAACACTGTGCTGGAGGGCCGGTTTCCTGCACAGTTTTACTCCAACTCTAATCACACACACCTGGTTGTAGATTTCTAGTGATCTTAAAGACACTGATTAGCAGGTTCAGGTGTGTTTGATTAGTGTTGCAGCTAAACTATGCAGGACATCAGCCCACCAGGACCAAGTATTCCCACCCCTGATATAGACTGTAAATAATGCAAAAATTAATACAACAATGCTAATATCAGTATCATCAGCAGATTGCAGCAAATAGAAGAGCATCTTTTGTCAAGTTCTCATTCATACAGAATCATATGACGTGATTTGTGTGTGTGTGTGTGTGTGTTTGTGTGGGAGACACAACTTCCTCTCAAATCTCTTGAGTTTGTTGTTATGACACAAAAATGCTGTAAATACTGCATGAAACGCATAGTCTCTATGATGAGAATGAAATATTGATCAGGCAAACGCTGGATTATACAGACCCAGAGGAGGAAGAGGAAGAAGATGCACACAGAACTTAACACCCATTTAGTTTGTTTAATAATGAATAAAGCTCTTCATCTAATTAGTGTCAGACATGCGATCTAAGTACAGTTGTGCATTTGGTTAAGACGATGTCATCACAAATATTTACACAATTTATAAATTAATAACTTATTTTCTATCATAATTAATTAATGAATTAAATTTGGAGACACAGTGGGTGACACACGCGCCATAGGTGAATTCGGTAGGCTAAATTGTTTGTAGTGTATGGGTGTGAATGAGAGTTCATGGGTGTTTCCCAGTACTGGGCTGCGGCTGGAAGGGCATCTGCTGGGTAAAACATATGCTAGATAAGTTGGCATTTCATTCTACTGTGGCGACCCCAGATTAATAAAGGGACCTTTATAAGCTGAAAAGAAAATGAATGAATTAAATTTTATTTTCTTTACTTATTTCTATATATAAAAAATACTTATATGCATATTCTAAAATATATACATCAAAATTTTATTCCATTTTTAACTTAAAATATTAATAATACCTCTGGCAGATAAGTGAAATAAATAATGGTTAAGATATTCATATTCTTATTAAAACATATGTAAAAAAATAATTTTATATAGGTTTTAAATAGACATTTATTTGTTTGTTTTTTACATCTTAATTGTGTTATTAAGCATTTTTGTCATTTACATTATTTATAAATATTGACGTTTTAAAACTGAAAATGAGTTTAAAAATATAAAAACTGCAAAACCAGAAAAGAAAATGCATAAAATACAGCTAAAATGTACTAAACACCTGTTAGAAAATGTTGTAAAAGAAGTAAAATTTCACAGAAAGGCTAATCATATCGGGAGGGGATAATGATATTGCTCTGAAAAAAAATAGATAAATAAAACTTTCTCCAGAATATAAAAAAAATCATATAAAATGTACTAAAACAGCTTGTTTAGTAAATGTTGACGTCCCTCAGCATATTTTCTGCTATGAATATATGAGCATTTTATACAGTGACAATGAGCACAACCCATTTTGAAAATGAATATTTTTATCCATTTCTCAGTGAATACACCACCTGACAAAAGTCTTGTCGCCTATCCAAGTTTTAGGAATGATAAATAATAACTTGACTTCTAGTTAATTATTTGGTATCAGAAGTGGCTCATATGAAAGCCAAAGGCCTCTAGATTATGCTTACTTTACCAAAAAAAACATGATCATGCCTTGATTTTTAATGATTTAATTAGGACAGTAAGGTCTGACTTGCTTAGACAAAAGTCTTGTCACTTAACAGAAATAATGTCCAGTATAGAATATAAAGTCATGCTGCAGTGGAAACAGAATGAATGTTGTGTCTGACTCCATCATGAGCTTGGAGGACTGCATCCATACATCTCTGCAATGACTCAAATCACTGATTAATAAAGTCATCTGGAATGACAAAGAAAGCTTTCCTGCAGGACTCCTAGACTTCATCAAGATTCTATGGATTCATCTTCAATATCTCCTTTATCTTACCGCAGACTTGCTCAATAATGTTCATGTCTGGTGACCTGGGCTGGCCAATCATGGAGCACCTTGACCTTTTTTGCTTTCAGGAGCTTTGATGTGGAGGCTGAAGTATGAGAAGGAGCGCTATCCTGCTGGAGGATTTGCCCTCTCCTGTGGTTTGTAATGTAATGGGCAGCACAAATGTCTTGATACCTCAGGCTGTTGATGTTGCCATCCACTCTGCAGATCTCTTGCACTTCCCCCATACTGAAATGTAACCCCAAACCATGATTTTTCCTTCACCGAACTTGACTAATTTCTGTGAGAATCTTGCTACTATGCAGGTCCCAGTAGGTCTTCTGCAGTATTTGTGATGATTGGGATGCAGCTCAACAGATATCCATCAGAAAAATTGACCTTCTGACACTTTTCCAAATAATCAACTAGAAGTTATTATTTGTTGCTCTTACAACAGGGACTTTTGTCAGGTAGTGTATAGGTCATACACAGTAGTCAACATTAGAAGTGGATCATTACTTTTCAACAAAAGTCTTAAAACTTTTGAACAACACCCATTCTTGTCCTAGGACAATTTTGAAAAACCTTTTAGGGTAACACTTCATTTTGATGGTCCATTTGAGTATTAGTAGACTGTCTGCTTAATATCCGTTGATACTGCTCCTTCAACAGATATTTAACTAACTATAAGAAACTTTGCAAGTACAGGTCAACTTACACTAACCCTAACCCCAACCTAACAGTCTACTTATAACCCAATGGGAATTAGTTGGCATGTAGGTGCAATGTAACTTAAATTCAACAACGAACCAGCAAAATAAAGTGGTACCCCTTTTTGATTCTCTTCAAGTGTTGACTACCGTATGTTGGTGAATTTGAATAAAACAGATTTATTAAACAAAAACATTTTATTCAAATAATATTTTAGTCACTGAACATCTTTAGAAATGGATTTATTATTTTACATAATTTGGATATATGTAGGACAATATAATATATAGGACATATTAGGGCTGTGCAATTATTCGAAAATCCGATTTCGATTTCTCTATTTCGGCTTCTAACGATTATGAAAAACCTTTAATCGAGATAAACGATTATTCCGTTATTTACCGCCCCATGTCCAGTTGTCCTCACTTGTTGCTCTTAAAAGCGCGAAAGACCGCATGCTTATGTGTGCGGCGCGCAGACAGTCGGAATCATGCGGTCTGCACTTGGTCTCATTCGCACATTGTGACGAGCAGAGTGCAGACATCTAAAGTCATTAATGTGAGCGCTTTAATGTTCAAATAGGTGTCAAAACGCGGTGTTTAGTGATTATTCATATTAACCCTCATTTTGTAATAAACAAACGAGTTGAGAATCAAAAGACACGTGAAAGCGAAACCATTAAAGTGACAGAGCACAGCTGCCGCCTGTTTTATCATGATTAATAAAACAACGAGAAAATCCCTCTTTGCTCTTGACTGAAGACTTTTGTGGCTGAAGTGTTTTTCTTACGGTGAAGATGCTAAAAGCACAGTTTGTTTCATATTTTTATTCTATTGTATTTATTTCTCTTTCCTTTGCAGGGAGGAAAATAATATATGCAGTTGAAGTCAGAATTATTAGCCCTCCTGAATATTAGCAACCTTTTCCCCCCAATTTCTGTTTAATGGAAAGAAGATTTCTGAACATAATAGTTTTAATCATTCATTTCTAATAACCGATGAATTTTATCTTTGCTATGATGACAGCACACAATATTTTAGTAGATATTATTTTAAATACAAACATTCAAATTCAAAGTGTGATTCAAAAGCTTAATTAGGGTAATTAGGCAGGTCATTATATAACAGTAGTTTCTTCTGCAGACAATCAAAAATATATATTGCCTAAAGGGGCTAATAATATTGACCTTAAAAGAGGTTTCAAAATATTTAAATTTGCTTTTATTCAAGCCAAAACAAAACAAATAAGCCAAATATTAAACAAATATTAGAGGAAATACTGTTAAAACTCCTTGCACTGTTAAACATCATTTGGGAAATATTTATTTTAAAAAAATTCTCAGAAGCGCTAATAATTTTGACTTCAACTAATAATCGTTTGGAATAATCGTGATTACAATTATGACCAAAATAATCGTGATTATGATTTTTCCTAAAATCGAGCAGCCCTAGGACATATATAGGACAACAGCATAAGGCTCATAATTTTGCCTTCAACTGCACTTAATATACTGTATTTGCAGTGATCTTATATGATCATAAAACTAATTCAGGAGAGCATTAGTGAGGAGTTTGTTTGTGATGCTGATGGTGTTTTACCGTCTTTCCTGACGTCTGCAGGGATGTTGCTGATGTTTAGGTCTTCAATGTCCAGCTGCCAGAGGTTGGAGAGCTGCCCAAGCTCGATGGGAAGCTCCTGGATGCCTGGATTGCTGAAAAACACAAAACATCCTTAAACCCCACAGCAGGAGAGATGAACCAGCACTTTCAGTCCTGTTTGACTTCTACAGCTCTTGACTTTCACATGAAATTCCAACTGGGATTATTAGGCTTCTCTCCAAAAAAGTCAGCGAGCACCTTGATGTTGGACGGAAGGAAATAAATATATTGATGTTCTCACATCAAATACACTGCAGAATCCACTAACAGTGTGTCCTTAAAAGATGCTTGGATTATGACGCAACTGCAAAATAATCATAAAAAGATTGGGTATAATGGTTTGTTTCGAATTCATGTGTAAATATTCATTTATTCATTTTCTTTTCGGCTTAGTCCCTTTATTAATCAGGAGTCGCCACAGCGGAATGAACCACCTGTATAATTATTTAAAAGAATATATTTCTTAGCAGTGTTTTTCTGTTCCACTGGAATTGTGTGTTACCATTTGTAAACTGCCTTTTTAAGGTCATGCCACAGCATCTCAATTGGGTTCAGGTCAGGACTTTGACTAGGCCACTCCAAAGTATGAATTTTGTTTTTCTTCAGTAATAGACTTGCTGGTGTGCTTTACATGATTGTCCTGCTGCAGAACCCAAGTTCGCATTAGCTTGAGGTCACTGGACATCAGGTTTTGGTCAGAATTCATAGTTCCATTTATCGTAGCAAGTCTACTAGGTCCTGATGCTGCAAAATAGCCTCAGACCATCACACTACCACAACCACATTTTACTGTTGGTATGGTGTCCTTATCTGAATTGTTTCAGACATTTCTGTAACTTTTACACCACACATAATGCGACACGCCTTCCAAAAAGTTCAAGCTTTGTCTAATCAGTCCACAGAGTGTTTTCCCAAAAGTCTTGGGAATCATCAAGATGTTTTCTGGCAAAACTGAGATAAGCCTTTATGTTCTTTTTACTCAGCAGAGGTTTTCATTTAGTGATCCATGAAACCAGTTTTGCCTAGTTTATTTCTCATAGTGGAGTCATGAACACTCAACTCTATTATGGTGGAGTCATGAACACTCAACACTATTATGGTGGAGTCATGAACACTCGACTCTTTTATGGTGAAGTCATGAACACTCGACTCTTTTATGGGGGAGTCATGAACACTCAAGTCTCTTATGGGGGAGTGATGAACACTCGACTCGCTTATAGTGGAGTCATGAACACCTGACTCTCTTATGGTGGAGTCATGAACACTCGAGTCTTATGGTGAAGTCATGAACACTCGACTCTCTTATGGTGGAGTCATGAACACTCGACTCTTATGGTGAAGTCATGAACACTCAACTCTATTATGGTGGAGTCATGAACACTCAACTCTATTATGGTGGAGTCATGAACACTCGACTCTCTTATGGTGGAGTCATGAACACTCGACTCTCTTATGGTGGAGTCATGAACACTCGACTCTCTTATGGTGGAGTCATGAACACTCGACTCCCCTATGGTGGAGTCATGAACACTCAAATCACTTATGGTGGAGTCATGAACACTCGACTCCCTTATGGTGAAGTCATGAACACTCAACTCACTTATGGTGGAGTGATGAACACTTGACTCTCTTATGGTGGAGTGATGAACACTCGACTCTCTTATGGGGGAGTGATGAACACTCGACTCTCTTATGGTGAAGTCATGAACACTCCACTCTCTTATGGTGGAGTCATGAACACTCCACTCTCTTATGGTGGAGTGATGAACACTCGACTTTTATGGTGGAGTGATGAACACTCGACTCTCTTATGGTGGTGTCATGAACACTCAACTCTCGTATGGTGGAGTCATAAACACCCGACTTTCTCATAAAACTGATAACCACTTAACTCTTATGGTGAAGTCATGAACACTCAGATTTCTTACAGAATAAGAATTTCAGAGTTCTCACATAAACACATTGCAGAATCCATAAACAGTGTATCATGAACAGGTGCTTAGATTATGACACAACAGCATAATGAACAAAGAAATTGGGTAAAATGGTTTGTTTTAAATTAATGCACAAATATGTACTATTTTTAAAAGAATACATTTCTAAGCAGTGTTTTTCTGTCCCTCTGAAATTGTGTTACCGTGTGTGAACCACCATGTTAAGGTCATTCCACAGAATCTCAATTGGATTCATGTCAGGACTTCTGAGTCAAAATTTTGAGCCCACTTTTCTTGGGCCAGCAGTCTACTCTTCATATGCAGTAATGAAGTAAAATGATGACAAAATGACCTACAGACACACACAGCACAGTAAATGCAGGTGCTTACCTGGCCAGGTAGAGCTCTGAGAGGTTTCTGAGAGCACAGACCGATGGCGGGACACTTTCCAGCTGATTGTTATTGAGATAGAGAACCTCAAGAGAGTCCCGCAGGAGCACAGGAAACTGAACAGGACAAACTGCAGAACAAGAGAAGACACTCAACAACACATTTGGTGAATCTGTAATAGCGTTGTGAATCTGTGACTTTACCAGGGTCTGGGTCCCGTCTGTGCCATGTGGTAAAGAAGGCCAGTTTCCTGGTTTTGGTAGCCTCTCCTGTCCTGAAATAACATTCACATTCAGATTACTGATCATTCACATTATTGATCTGAAAAAAGTTAGAAAAACTATGAGTAAAACATGTGTCAACTGATATTTCAAGGTGTCATAGATACAACAATTACAATGGGAAAATAAAACCCTTAATATATCATAATAAGATAACATAATAATAAAAGTAAATTAAATTGCAAATAATTGTAAGCTACTATAAGACTACCAACATCAAAAATGAAAGAATGAATGAAAAAGAACAAAGAATATTTAAAAAAAAAAAAAATAAATAAAAAACATTGTCATTTTAAGGTATCAGAAAATTACTAACTGCACAAAATAAATAAATAAATTAACAATAATGATAATTTAGTAATATTAAATTATATAAAATATAGAATACTATTTATAAACAATAATAAACAAATAATATTAACATTATAACAACAAATAAAAACAATAAAATAGAATTACTATGGAAGTAATAATAGTAATTCTAACGATTAATAAGTAGGAATAGTTTTCTAATAGTAAGTAGGAAGGAAGAGAACGTCTGTGCGTGTTTGTCTTGCCCAATTTTGGACATTTCACATTTAAGTGTGCATTTCCTTTATGTATTCTTGCTAATAGCTGTGTATGCTTTAGTATTTATGTAAGCAAGTGTAACTGTAACTTAATTTGATTGTGATGCAATAATGTGCACCTTCTGCAAAGCAGCTTTGAAACAATGATTATTGTAAACAGCGCTTAACAAATAAACTTAAACTGAATAAACTTGCACATACTATAATACACGTATGTATGCAAATCTCTATTTTATGAAATAAATTAGGAAAAAGACATTTTAAAAAATATTACATTGACTGCATTTAAGACTTTATCATTTTTTAAATAATAAAAAAGCAATGGTATAAATCCAGAAAAAAAAATAAAATAAAAAGAAGATTTAGAATAACTAAATGACTTATTCTAATAATAAGTATAAGCAAAGTATAGGTATATACACTCATCAGCCACTTTACAACTGCTCGTTAACGAAAATTTCTAATCAGCCAATCACAAGGCAGCAACTCAATGCATTTAAGCATGTAGACATGGTCAAGACGATCTGCTGCAGTTTAAACCGAGCATCCGGGAAGAAAGGTGATTTAAGTGACTCTGAACGTGATTTAAAGACTGAACGTGGCATGTTTGTTGGTGCCAGACGCGCTGGTCTGAGTATTTCAGAATTTGCTGATCTACTGAGATTTTCACGCACAACCATATCTAGGGTTTACAGAGAATGGTTTGAAAAAGAGAAAATATCCTGTGAGCGGCAGTTCTGTGGGCGCAAATGCCTTGTTGATATCAGAGGTCAGATGAGAATGGCCAGACTGGTTCCAGCTGATAGAAAGGCAACAGTAACTCAAATAACCGCTCGTTACTACTGAGGTCTGCAGAAGAGCATCTTTGAACACACAACACGTCCAACCTTGAGGCAGATGAGCTACAGTAGCAGAAGTCCACACCAGGTGCCACTCCTGTCAGCTGAGAACAGGAAACTGAGGCTACAGTTGCCACAGGCTTAACAAAATTGCACAATAGAAGATTGGAAAAACTTTGCCTGGTCTGATGAGTCTCCATTTCTGCTGCAACATTCATAAGGTAGGTTCAGAATTTGGCGTCAACAACATGAAAGCATGAATCCATCCTACCTTAAATCAGTGGTTCAGGCTGGTAGTGTTCTAATAGTGTCGGGGATATTTTTTGACACCCTTTGGGCTCATTAGTACCAATTGAGCATCGTGTCAACGCCACAGCCTACCTGAGTATTGTTGCTGACCATGTCCATCCCTTAATGACCACAGTGTGCCCATCTTCTGATGGCTACTTCCAGCAGGATAACACGCCATGTCAAAGCATGAATCATCTCAGACTGGTTTCTTGAACATGACAATGAGTTCACTGTACTCAAATGGCCTCTACAGTCACCAGATCTCAATCCAATTGAGCTACTTTAGGATGTGGTGGAACAAGATATTCCCATCATGAATGGGCAGCCGACAAATCAGCAGCAACTGTGTGATGCTATCATGTCAATATTGACCAAAATCTCTGACGAATATTTCCAGTATCTTGAAAGGATAAAGGCAATTCTGAAGGCAAAAGGGGGTCCAACCTGGTACTAGTAAGATGTACCTAATAAAGTGGCCGGTTAGTGTATTTTCAAAATGATGACAAGTGAAATAACTAGCAATAGTTTAAATGACGTAATATAGGCTGTTTTTTGTTTTTGCACCTCTTTTTAATTGTAGAATTTCAGTAAAAGAAGTGAATGTTGAAGGTATAACCATATAAAGCAAGTGCCAAAAAGTACATTAAAATGCAGCCAATGTAAGACTCACCGGGTTTTGGACAAGAGCTTTCTGTGTGCATATATACATGTGTGTGTGTGTTTGACCTACTTCCCCAGCTGGTTTCTGGACAGGTCTAGTGTTCGCAGACAAGAGCATTTCCATTTGTTTGGAGCAGGAAGAGTGGAGATCTGGTTTCCACACAGTTTTAGAGATACCAGAGCCTAATCACACACACACAGACACACACAGACACACAGACACACAGACACACAGACACACAGACACACACACACACACAGACACACACACACACACACACACACACACACACACACACACACACACACACACACACACACACACACACACACACAGTTAAGTAAAAAAGTTTGGACACCCTATTGAAACTCATGGTTTACTGCATCAGGAGGACAATAAAAAAATATATATAAATAAAAAAAACTGTATGGTCCTTTCAATTTGGAAGATAACACATCTCACATGGTGCCATGATTCATTAAACAAAAATAAAGCCAAGACAGAACAGTTAAAACTGAGGACAACACATAATTCAGCATTAAAAGCATTCAATGGCATTTAAAATGGCATTTTCCCCCATGCACTCCATCTCCATTGGTCACTTGGTTGTTGGCTTCATGTTCATGTGAACTTCTGTTGCTGTTGTGTTTTAATCCCCTCATCATCACATGTGAAGTCTTGAGTTTAACTAGCTACTCGTTGTTATTAATAATAAATAACCTGCACTTTCTCCCTGATTCACTGCCGTCTATCGGCATGAAGGAGAGGCTGAAAGAAAACTGTGAGCACAGCGCCACCAAGAGGACAAACAACTCTAACAAGTGGACACGATCTTACACTAGTCATCGCATTCATTAACATACACATGGAATCAAAGCTAACCATAGAGATTTGGTTAGCTGGCATTGCTAGCTTTGTGGTGAAGAAATCAGTTATTAGAAACGAGTTATTTAAAGTATTATGTTTACAAATGTGTTGAAAAAATCTCTCTGTTAAACAGAAATTGGGGGAAAAAGGTGCTAACAATTCAGGGGGTTAAATAATTCTGACTTCAACTGTGTATAAGACAAAAGTAAAGTTTGCTAACAAAAGCACGTCTTCTTTACATATTAGTATTATTTAAATAATTGTCCCAAAGAAATGTAAAAAAATATATATATGCTGATTAAAATAATAATTGTAATTTCATTACAATATATATTTTTTATTATTCATAAAAAAAATTTAAAATTATTTACTTTTAAACAAAAAAGCAGTGATCTTTTAATTGAAATTTATTTTAATTATTCAGCCAAAATATTACTCCTTTCCGTAATTATGTGTTCAATTTAAGCTGCAACCTCCCGCTCTCCCTCGGGAAACCAAAACGGAAGTAACTTAAACTGCAATTCATCAACTCGCCTTTGGGGGCTGGCTCCAGGAAATCCAAATGATCTCTGACTGCAACGATAAATTGGCCATATTTACAGCCTGGTACAAATGATGGTTTTGGTGCATAGAGCTAATATTACTGAGGGGGGGGTGAATTTTATTATAACTCATCCGTTTAGTTTTTATTAAGTTTTATTAAGTCGGCATAATTAAGGGGCGTGGCCACTTGAGTGACAGCTAGGTTTCGCTGCTCGCAGTCTTGTCATCTCAGCTGATTCCAGCTGATTAGTCGCTGAACTTGGCATATAATGTTTTATGTGGGTTCACATAGATAATTGCCTTTTGGAAATATTTTCTACAATTATCAAATGGCATGGCATGCTGTGTGCACCTAATTGTGCTCACAAACCATTCACATGGCCTCTATTTCCCAGGTGAGTGAAATTATAAACTCATATACCATCTCTATAAATGTATTTGGTTAATTAAGATCATTCATTATTTATATTTTTCTTTAGAGCTGTAAAGTGCTCCAGAATCTGACAGATTGATTAGCTGTAGGCTCTAAAACAGTCATCTGAAATGTTGTCATACAGTTTTATGCCTGGATTTCATCAATAGCCCTGCATTTACTAAGACAGACTATATTTTAAGTATTTGGAAGTAATTCATGCTTTCCTCCTGTAGAAAAACGTCGTAAGAACAATGTTTAGTGGCTCAATGTATTACAACAGTGTTTTAAAAGGTCTAAACACTTTATTGATATAGTGTACAACCAAGCACATGTGGTCAGAATACAAACGAGTCGCAGGTAATAAAGTACACTGCAAAAAATGCTTTTCTTACTTGGATTTTTTGTCTTGTTTTGAGTCCAAATATCTACAAATTCTCAAATCAAGTAGAATTTTCTAGACAAGCAAAACATATTGTATTGTTTTGAGAAATAATATGCCATTATTAAGTGAGTTTTTTCTTAAAACAAGCAAAATAATCTGCCAATGGGGTAAGCAAATTAATCTTACGTCAAAAGAAAAAACAAGATTATTTTGCTTACCCCATTGGCAGATTATTTTGCTTGTTTTAAGGAAAAACTCACTTAATATTGGCATATTATTTCTCAAAACAAGACAATATGTTTTGCTTGTCTAGAAAATTCTACTTGATTTGAGAATTTTTAGATATTTGGACTTGAAACAAGACAAGAAATCTAAATAAGAAAAGCAGTTTTTGCAGTGTAATAAGCATTCTCCCAAAGAAAATCCTGTCTAAGCAAAATGGCAGCAGGCGTCTGTAGCTCCACTGACACTCCGCCTCTTTGCCCTTATTAGGTCACCCCCGGTGGGTGCGAGGACACGCAAACAAAACGGTGTCGGTTGGCCACGCCTACTTGTTGCTTCATTTGAGTTCTTCAGAAACCTATAGGTGACATCACGGATAATACGTCCATATCTTTTATGGTCTATGGCAGTGGTTTTTCAAACTGTGGTACGTGTTCCACTAGTGGTACGCGGGCTTCCTTCTAGCGGTACGCCGAGGAATGAAATATGTCATGTACATGCTACACACATTTCAAAATTCATCTAAAATGACGTATATAATATGCCATATATGACATATAGCCTATATTTCTGAGGTAATCTGCCACGTTTTTTAACTGTGCAGAGTTGTAGCTGCTGTACTGGGCCTACAATGCTACTGTATTTCAATACTGCTCATTTTGGTGGTACTTAGAGAGACCATTTTTTTTTCTGAGGTGGCACTTGATAAAAAAAAATTTGAGAACCTCTGGTCTATGGTTCAGTTTTGTGATTTTGTAGTAAAAAAATTTGTCCTGGTCCTGCTTATAAGTTTAACTTTAAAACTTTATTATTCCCCTTAAAGCAAATCATTTTGATGTGTGTGCTGCTTCACAAATATTTACCATAAGAAATTCAAAAATACTAACAATTAACACCAAATACAGACAATAAATAATTTATAAAATACTAAATAAATCGTAATAATAATAATAATAATAATAATAATAATAATAATAATAATAATAATAATGATAAAATCAACCGGACTGTTTAGTTAGATTGCCTCCAGCATGGCATATCAGTATTCACTCAGGATGTTTTTTGTCTCACCTCCAGCTCGAATATGTACGCAGGCAGCTCCTTTAGGATGTTTTCTGAAATGTCCACCTCCCGCAGGTGAGTCCTCCAGAAGATGGAGATGGTGTCCGGAAGAACCTCTATCTGGTTGTTTGAAGCTTTGCAGATTTTCTGTGAAGAAAAACCATCCCTGGTTATCATCGCTAATCATAATACAGCATTTAATCAGGGTAGAAAAACTGCATTCAATCCGCAAACAAAACTACATCAATCACAATGGTATGCAATGGTAACCCTTTAGAACAGAGACGCCCAAACTAGGGCCCGCGGTCCTATTTGTTCTATTTATTGCTTTATGTAGTGGTCTGTAATTTTATTATTAATTGGTTTGTCTATTGCTTTATGTAAGGCTTTGTTTATTGGATTTATGAAGTGGTCTGGTAAGATGTATGAGATTGTGGTTCACCAGAGGACAGGCCCAGGGGTCAGGAAAGCGGCTCAGTTTGTTTCTGCTGATGTTGATGGAGTTCAGTGTCTTCAGGCAGTGCAGGATGGAGGAGGGCAGATCCGTCAGGCTGTTCTCGGACACGTCCAGACCCTGCAGTTTGCGCAGACCGATCCAGTTCGTGCCTGTGGAGGAACCGCATTGGGAGAATTGTAGGCTATTTTAAAAACTGATATTATATAAGAAATATTAATAACGGTAATTTTCCAAATGGAAAAAAGGTTGGTGTGTTGGTTGTACACTAAATCCTCAGTAGCCTATTTATTAAGTTTATGACGTGACTCCAGGCAGCACAGAGGCGATCAGCATCATTGCTAGTTTGTCAAATCGCCTGTGTCAGACTGTGACCAGAAATATTCTTCTTTTGGCAAAATACATCTGTAGACACGTGTGTTTGCACATATTACTCTCTCAAGAGTTAACAAATTTGTGTTGCACATTTAGGGGCCGATCACAAAGAGCACGCTTTCCGTTCCAAAAACACGAGGCGCACCACACTGCCTTTTATGTTGACAAGAAAAAAAGAAGCGCGGTGCTCTTTTGTATGTCACTATAGGAAACGACTACATCAGCTGACCCGTATTGTATGCTAGTGGTGTTGCTGTCGATGTTATAATTGTATTTTTTAATAACATTGTGATATTCAAGATCTGCAAAGTTATACAGCTCTGGATAACTTGGAAACAGCGACCACAAGTTTCTCCTCCATCATTAAAAGTTCTCTGTAGTCGCCTTGACAACACAAACCCTGCTGTCACCTCAGCAGAAGCCCAGCAGTGCTTTCATTTGATTGAAGAATGAAACGGATGCGATTGAGGTAACTTGGTTTTTCCGCTCGAGTGCACAAATGTGAGGCGCCCAGGGCACATAAGCAGCTAGTAAAACACTCGCGGCCGTTAGTAAACCATTCAACAGATGAGCCTCTTAACACAAAAAGCGCGTTGGTTGTGATCAGCCCCTTATGCAGCCAAACTTTGAAAACACCAATAATCGGTTACAAACGCACCCTTTCAGTTAACGGTTAATAGATTATTTTGAGCATCCCTAATTAAACTGCATGCGCAGGCTCTAAAATATACAGTTAAAGTCAGAATTATTAGCCCCCTTTGAATTTTTTTCTTCGTTTTTAAATATTTTCCAAATGATGTTTAACGAAGCAAGAAAATTTTCACAGAATGTCTGATAATATTTTTTCTTCTGGAGAAAGTCTTATTTGTTTCATTTCGGCTAGAATAAAAGCGGTTTTAAATTTTTTAAACATCATTTTAGGGACAAAATTATTATCCCCTTTAAGCTATATTTTTACTCGACTGTCTACAGAACAAACCATCAATATACAATAACTTGCCTAATTCCCCTAACCTGCCCAGTTAACCTAATTAACCTAGTAAAGCCTTTAAATGTCACTTTAAGCTGTATAGAAGTGTCTTAAAAAATGTCTAGTCAAATTTTATTTACTGTCATCATGGCAAAGATAAAATAAATCAGTAATTAGAGATGAGTTATTAAAACTATTATGATTAGAAATGTGTTGAAAAAATCTGCTCTCCGTTAAACAGAAATTGGGGAAAAAATAAAAAGGGGGGCTAATAATTCAGGGGGGCTAATAATTCTGACTTCAACTGTATATGTTTTTTCTCTCACAGCCGCACGGCGGAGATCCGGCACGGTGCCGGAATACTTTAAGCCCTACACATGTTCACGCACGCACACATGCGCACACAGAATTTTTAGTTAAAATAAACTTGTGGTGTAGAAACAAATCTGACATACAAATATTTTAAGTTCTTTTTCAAATCAAGTGGTTATTCGAAGAAGTGTATTTATATAATAAAGTGAAATGCATAATAAAGAAAATAAGATAAAGCGATAAAGACTTCATCAAATAACATTACAGGACATGTCAATTCCCCAAAAGTATGTCTTGCAATTTAAAGTATGAATACCGTTGCCTAAATAAAACATTAAAGCTAGTGAAGCCCATTTATTTTATTTATTATTTTAAATGAGCAAATTTTTTAACAAAACGATATTTTGGTTTTGAAATGAATTTTAAAGGGTAAAACAATAGACAAGCGCCGAAACACCAATTAAAACGCTAATAGAAAGAAATCAATCTCAGATAGGAAACAGGGAAAAAAAAACATTTTCATTTGTCTCTGTGAATTGCAGTTGTGAATTGAAGTGTACAATGTTTATCTGTTTGTGTACCGTCGGGGATGTTGAAGAGGCAGCTGAGTTTGTTTCTGGCTGCTGAAATCCTCTGCAACTCTTTAAGATGAAGGAGACCGAGAGGAAGACACTCCAGCTCATTCTCAGACACATTCACATGCTGTAACCTGCAGAAAACATGGAGGAAAGAGGACCAGTTACTACCAAGACTAATTTAGCAAACAAAAACTCAAGATTAATAAACTACTGGTAAAAAACATCTACGTTAAGTGAAATCAAATTTAAAAATCAGCACTATTAAAACTAAAAACAGTCACTGAAAACAGAAATAAAATTAAATCTTGCAAAAACACACTAAATTTTTATTTTACTGCTTCTTTAAACTACATTAAAGAAGGGGGGGGGGGGGCAACTTTATAGTTTTATGTTCAATACATTTAAATTTGTAAAAACAATTGAGATGAATCTTAATTGAAGATTGAAGAGGGCGGAGCTAAAAATGCCTTTGTGTCAGCATAGTAGCAGATTCAAAACTCTAATAACAGACGGTTGCTTCACACTCAGGCAGGTCTTTGCTAATGTGGGAGAGATGGTCACTAATGGGCGGGGCTTTCCCTCTCTGATGACACGTATAAAGGGAGAATGTCAATCAAAGGGTTTCTGTAGACCAGGGGTCGGGAACCTATTTTAAACACCCTTTTTAAAGAGCTATTTCTGATTTATTTATTTATTTTTTTACCAAAAACCTTTTTTTAAAGCGCCATTTGGATGTATATTTATCTGAAAATGCCCCTTTAAAATGCATTTGCAACAGTATTGCCAGAGGTGGGTAGAGTATCCAAAATCTATACTCAAGTAAAAGTACAAGCACTTGCGGAAAGTTTTACTTAAGTAAAAGTAAAAGCAACAATCTTAAAAGTTACTCGAGTAAGAGTAAAAAAGTATCTGATGAAAAATTTACTCAAGGAAATAGTTACTACTTATATATATATATATATATATATATATATATATATATATATATATATATATATATATATATATATATATATATAAAAAAAAGGTAATGTAATGTTTAGTTCAGTCATCATAACATTATTAATTTAGCTTTAATCTATTTAGGTAATATATTTAAGTTTAATAATTAAATAGAATAAAGCGTCAATTATGAATGTTGTGTTGATTGAGCTAAACATTAAATAAACTTAAGTTCACTAAAATACATATTCTTTCTTTAAGGTACCTTAACTCGGTTGCCTTAACATGTTGACATAAAAAAGTTAATTAAAGCCAACATAAATTTTTTTGAGTGATATGCATTCAGTGAGAAATTTTGCTTGAAGAGAGCACTAGTAGACAATTCTGTTGAATCCAACTCTTTTTGTCCACTTTCTTGTTTTATAGGAGAGATCCTGGGGGT